TGCGAAGACACTATTCCATAGGATAAAAAGAAAAAAAGAAAGAAAAAGAATTAAGAAAAAAAGAGGCATCTTGATTCTAAATACGATTGAAAAGATAAACGAATTTGAAGGAAAAAAAAAAATCTCTCTTTAGTTTAACGACACTCGAAAATAAAAGTATATAAAAGCTTCGGAATGCAGAGAAAGAGAGACCACTTCGAAGGACCAATTTAATTCTCGACGTAGAGTAGAGTCCTCTCTACGTTCGCCTAAATTAAACGACATTGGGGTGCTATGAACCTTGGTTTAGCTGTTAAAGACTCAAGAAGGGGAGTTCGTCGGCAGTCGGGTTAGCAGGTCGAAAGGACTGTAACGGGTAAAGAGAGGAGAGAGATATTGACAATGCAAAAAGGGGGTCGATCCCTCGTGTCGGTTATACGTTCGTGAACGTAATTCTACACATTGGGATGTGCATATGTGTAAAGGGAACCTACGCGGTTGCAATGTAAAGCTGAAATATCGGTTTCCGTTGTTCAAATGATACCAATGATGGATTGAAAATAAGATACAAAAAAAAAATAAAATACTAATCGATAAATACGTCATAAAACTCAAACAAAAATGTCATCTAATATATTACGTTGTTAAGAGCTTCAATATTTTATCGAACATGTAAATAATATGTAATATAAAAATCTAAAGAAAGTTGTTGATCTAAAATATAAAAACAAAAAAGTGTCTTTTATTTACTATTAAAAAAAGTGAAATTACCTTTCGAACTATACTTCGATATACGACGTATATTCGTATTATACTATACGAGAATAGATTGAATAGTTTTAGGGCTATGTGGAAAAATTTAAATCAATGGTTTCTATATTAGACTCAAAACTTTTTAATCTAATCGCTGTATGTGTATAGATTATTATACCGATTTATTATCAATATTTTGTTCTTTTATTTCATATATACACATATATATTATATAAAGTAGATTTCGAGGAGAACGGTAAGTTGAACTTATACTACATGCTTTTAAACTGCAATATACATTTATTTAGATTAATTATCAATTATTTGAGATATATCGAACACTCTGATGTATTCTATAATAATATTTTCAATTGTTTAAACTAAGTTACATTCATTCGTTTTAACATTCCTGACGAGTGTGATGACTTTAAATTGAAAATGTTCATCTAACAAAATATCAAATCGAAACTGTGTTTATTCAAAGTATATATATAATTTTAAAACAAATATACTTTATATATTATTCTTACTTTAAATGGTATTAAAGCTTATTTAATCAGTATTAAGCTGATTCTGATATACACACATTCAACACAACTAAACATTAGAATCTTCCATAATCTCATTCAACTGTTGATCGATTGAGGGTTCTATCTTACTCTCTCTCTTTCTCTCTCTTCCTACTTTTACGCTCCCTATCTCTCTTAATGTAATTTTATAAAATATTATCTTTACTGTCGCCCCCAAAAAGTTTCACTTAAAAACAAAAAGAAAAATAAAATAGATCGATAGGAGAGCGTAATGAATTATCATGATATTATCATTGAATTCACAAGGTCGCAAGAGATATAAGATGATAATAATAAAACTATATCTCGATTTATCCTAGTAACGTACGATGAACGGGGTCAGCCGTACACAAAGCTTTTAACGGCAGCAGCGTTTTATCGGACTTTATTGAACTGGGTCAATCACATTTCCTATATCGTCGGCCGTGCGTAAGTATCTATCAAGAATAACTCGCCAAATTTCACGTAAAAGTTACAAAGATAATTTTTCTTATTCTCAATCGACCTATAAATAAAATATTTATGCATGTATTATACATAGAATGCGTATTACTTTGACATCAAAATAATACAGATAATAATAATATTTTTTTACCGATCTTATATATGACCGAAAATAAAAAAACCGAAATTTTATAAGATTCGTTACTTTCGATACGAAATCTTTTTTCAAAGAAAAACCGTTGTGTGACTTCTTTTTAACAATTATTTCAAAGAAAAAAGTTCACTCTCGTTAAAGCGAAAAAAGCTTGCTCGTTCGTTCGTTCATTCGGCATGTAAAGCCGTGTTGTGTGCTTTTTCGCTTTGCCGATGGCGCCATTACCAAACGAACGTGTACACACGCAAATACATTTATTTTCAGTCTTTACTTTTACGCCGACACGAAAAGGGGGTGGTTATCTATATCCACATATATTTATATATATACATACATACATCATAAAAATATACATGTTTACGTACATTTATATATGAATGTATTTACAACACACCTATGCATTCATACAAAAACATATATATGAAATACTATGTTATAATGTACACGTGTACGTCCTCTTCTCTCTTCCTTTTTCTCTCTCACTCTCTCTCTCTCTCTCTCTTTCTCGAATGCGATTTCACAACCCAGTTCCGTCCGGTTGAAAATGTACGAATAGAAAATAGGATCCACAGCCGATATCTGGTAGTCCTATGAGCATATAAAACGTGCACCAAACGTAATTTTTTTTCATCCGATTGTTACCAAAATATTATTGTGAAATCTACCGGAAGATATTAAATCTAAAACAAGATCCTTTCTCTCTTTCTCTCTCTCTCCTTCTCGCTTGTTTTCTCTTCCTTTTCGATTGAAAAAGTATTTACAAAGGAATGAAACTTTACGGTATTAAAATTCAAATGAAAAATCAATAAATAGATAAACAAATATCCCTTTCATTTAAATTCCCTTTTATTTCCCGTGAAAAAAAAATAAAAATAAATAAATAAATAAATATATATATATAAATATGTTCTTCGTGAGAATTCATGAACTAATTTCTGTAAGAGAAAGAAAAAGACATTCCAGAGATATCTCACATCGTGAATATAATAAGGCAGCTGTTACGAAGCACAACGTCTGATTAAGAACGGCGGCACGTAACACGCGAGTCAGCAGCACTCATCATCAAGAGTGTACTTTCATCGCCTTCTATGAACTGACGTGTCACACGGTGGGCAGCACATAATCACGACCTAAAAAACGAATTAGGACGAAATTGCGTTGATCCTTTTTCTGCTTCTTTTTTTTCTTCTTATTCTTAATCTCACAAAAATTAATGATTATTCTTTCCGTTCGTCTCTTTCGATTTGGGGTCACCTATATTCGTCATCCTCCTTATTACTTGGAAGAACTGTCATGTTCTTTGTTATTTTTATTAAAGGTCTAATTTCAAGTGTCGCCATGATATCATATCCGCGGCACGCGTTTAAACTCGATTAAGAGAATCGATTAACGCATTTATTTTATCCATTGAAGACAATATCAAAATGTCAAGGAATACTATTCTGAAATAGAAGTTTATTGTAATAATGTTATTACTATTATTATTGTTATTATAATTATTATAGATCAAGAAAGCACATATAAATTTCATGTCTACGTTGCTATTTATTCCTTGAGATAGCACTTTACCTATCTATGGCCTCGAGAACGTTTAAAGGGTGAGCGATAAGGATAGTCAAAAGGGGGAACGACCCGTACGAGTCGGCCCTTCAGGCATTTTCTTGCTACTACACAATATGCCTACGTAACATATGGGTTAGATGACTCTTCAAAGCTCACCGATTTTCTTTTCTTTTCTCCTATTATAAAGATATAAGAAATAAAAGCTAAACCAAGCATAAAAACGATTTTAAATTGACCCACGTCTACTTTCGGATATGAGAAACCAATTGAATTATAATTCGAGAACAATATTTTTTTTCTTCTTTATAAAATAAAATTTTATTTTAAATTCATAATACGTTGATAAGTTAAAAATTGTCAAATCTTGTACGAAAACATTTTTTGATGTAATTCGTTATTATTTTAATATTAATATAAAAGTTCGGTTGTTTATTGAATAGATCTCAGTGAAATTTGTATCTGTAAAATAAATCTAGAATAAGTTATCTTATGTTAGATGGATATTACGCATTTGGTTGGATTAATTAAACAGTAATGTTTGTAATCTGAAAAACTCGTGGTAGATTTACGTGAAAATACGATTTGATCTATGATGTAATCATTCGTGAGTCTATTACGAGAAGTAAACACACACACACACAAAGAGAGCGGATAAACGATGTAATATGCGAAACACAATAACAAATTACAAGCAGTAGGATGATACGAGCAAATGAAGCCCTATACGTGCGATATGTTTTGAACGAGTATGTAGTTTGTTTATTCCTCGAAGAAACTCAATAATAACGAGTGTTACCTTAATTCGAGCAGTGATTCTAACAATAAGATATTTTTCGAATTTCTAACTCAAGTATTTTTGATTACTCGTTGTGTTTCGATTTTCTGACGTAATAATAACTAAAACTTATCATCATTTTTTTTAAATTAATTTTACGAAAGACGCGCATTCGTTTCACCAATTTCACTTTCCTTGCATTTTTGTGTCGAGCGTATTAAAAGAAAAGACAAATAAAAATATTTACGAAACGAACAGCATCAAAGTCCAAGTCGAAATAAACACGCGTGTACACCATCGTGCTTACTATTATAGTAATGGTCTGCGGCCCACGGTAACCGTGACCTTTTACGAAGCAACAACAGTCTATTCGTCTTAATGGTCGCTTTACATGCCACTGCGCAAAGTAACAATCTGAGGTACGTAAGAAAAGACCAAATAAAAAAATGATCGGACATTTTTCTTTCTCTCATTTGGATTCATGTTCAAAAAAAAAAAAATTTTTAATCCTCGACAAAAACTAAGAGTTACTTCTTTAAAACTGAAATAACTATATGCCGTGTCTCATCCTCGAAATCATTTATTCAAAGATAATAATATCGATAGATCGACCTTGAAAATATTCAAAAGAAAAATTAACAAGATTTACGAAATAATGATAAAATAACCTATGTACATATATGTTTTTTATTATTTCATATTTCGGAATCAATACAATAAAGATGAAAAATAATAATGTTAATAATAATTAGCATCATCTTACCTGTTTTCCAGCACGCGGCAATGTCTCAACGTTGGTACCACCGACTACCGGCGCCTTCTCCGTTCCGCCATTTTGGTGAACGACATTCGTATTCGCGTTGATGTTGACATTGACATTCGCATTGATGTTAGCGTTAACATTGTTCACATTATCGGTCGCATTAACGTTCGTATTCCCACCGGCGCCACCACCACCCTTCCCCTCCTCCCCCGTCATCTCTTCGAGCTCAGTCACGAGCTTATCTCTTTTTCTTTTTTCCTTCCTACTTCTTCTTCTTCTTCTTTCCTATTTTCTTCTTTTTTTCTTTCTCTTTCTCTATCTTTTTGTTCTTTTTCTTTTACACACACTGACGTCCTTCCTTGTTCCTTTTCGTTCAACGAAGAATTAATTTCTTCTGTCTCTCTCGACTATCCAAAATCCGGATATTTGCTAAGAATGAATGAATGCACACCATGAACGATGGGAAAATTGCCCACAAGGAGAAAAATCTTCGCGTTACATAGGGAAGAACCCTCCGGCACTTTTCTCTACCTCGGCATCTCTCCAATTAGAATACCACGGGTATTCAAGATGAAATCAAGGGAATAACGTCAACTTTTTTTCTTTTTTATCAATAAAACTTCGTCATTTTTAAAATCTCATGTAATATGCGTGCGCTTGCTTGCGACGGCGGAAATGAGAACTACTCCATGTTATCTTTTCGCCAGGTGCTCGTACAAACGAACGATCGATCGAAGGAGACGAGTGAGTCTTCCCGATCGAAGATTTTCAGGGAACTATACTAGACGTATATATTTTAGAGAGAAAGAGAAAGAGAGAAGGAGAGGGAGAAAGAGAGAGAAAGAGAGAGAGAGAGCTCCCGTCCAAATTACTTTCGTTGTTCTTCCGGGGGCTCTATTTTTAGGTAGCCAGATACGCGATACGGTCGACATAACGGTATACGTCCAAGTGTTGTACCCGGAGAACGTTCACGAGCCACTTGCATAGTACATTCTCTATATCTCACGTTTGATATTAAGCTATTGGTCTGACAAAACGAAGACCAACTAAATTTAATTAATAGTTTCGTTGATTTTTAAAGGACTTTTTAATCCTCGCCGTTTCTATCACGAGAAAACACACCAGTTTAACGATAAGTTGTATATACCACACGTTTGTATACGAAACGAGAAGAACATTCCGAAGTGAATTACACGCGAAAATGTTTCCCTCTCTCTCTGATGTCGAATCTAATCAAAAATAAAAATAAAAAAAGATCAAATAAAATATAGAGAAAAAATAATAAGCGAAATTGTGTCGCGAACTAACCATAAGGGGGAACAATTCCAGCACCATTCGGTGCGTGTGCCCGTACAGTTCAGCACAGCGGTAGTAGAAGCAGGGAAAATCGATTGGAGCGTGTCCGTTCGAGTACTGCGCGCTTCTCCAAAAGCACATACGAACGTAACTTTCAAATCAAACCAGTCAAATGATACCTATATAATAAATGGACAAAAAAAAAGAAAAAAACTATCCTATTATCTTGTCCATTCTTAAAATATAATATTCAAAGAAAAATATCTTTATAGATTTTCCGTTCAATTTCGTCTCCTCATTACCCTAATCCGAAATATGACTCAGCGAGCAAAGAAACCTTTTAAATAAACGTTTAGGAGTAAACATATCCTGTTTACTATCCTACTAGCTACCACAGAAACGGGGGAAAAAGATCCTTCTTCTTCTTCTTCTTCTTCTTCTAAAGTTACCAAAGGGTGACGAACTACTCTACTTTAACATGCTTCCTCCGATCAAAGAGGTCCTAATATGACGTGGCACGTGGAATTCGCACATCCGTGGACACCGAACCACCCCAACTTTAGAGGACCGAGAGGGTGGTAGAGAATTTTTTCAAGAGACGGCAATTAGTAAACGCTCACGCCGTTAATCGTTTGCCTTTGATGCTACGCCCTGGAGCGATGGACCGACGACGACGACGACGTCGACGACGATGGCTTCGCTCTCGTATTTGCCCAACCCTCCCGCAATACTCTCCTCCTACTTTTCTCTTACCCCTTCTATCCTCTTCTCGTCCCTTTTCTTCTCTTCTCTTCTCTCAACAGAACATGGCACATAAAGAGAACAAGGCGCACCCCTTTCCTATCCTTCTCTTTCTCTCTCTCTCTCTCTCTCTCTCTCTCTCTCTCTCTTTCTCTTTATAAATGCACGTCGAATCCATTTTAACCGTCAAATGCATCCGATTTTACGTTAGACGTACTCGACAATACCCAACAACTACTCGTTGTTAATGACGTATAAAAAGATGCAAAGATTTTTAATATATGCAAGAGAGATATAATAAAACTTCCCTCTATTGTCACTGTATTATTTTATATTCGTATAAATATTCGCTATACGAATTTAACCAGGAATCTCTTGTCCGTTCAATTAATTTATCTATTTGAATTAACGATGAATAACACATGTGTGTACATATACGCACGTATTATTTTATTTCTCTACCCTTTTTGATGTCATTCCCGCTGAAGGTCACCTTCTTACTCAAAGAGGAAAAGGTAAAAAAAGATAAGTATGATGTAGGACTCGGTTAAAAAACTGACCCGAACTAAACTCGTCGAGCGGTAAGTTGTTTTTTTTTTATTTCTTTAGAGAATTCCACTGATGTTACCGGTTATGTGACAGGGACGAAAGAGAAAAATGTGTAACTCTACGATTATTTGTAATCATACAGTTGGTTAAATTTTTGTATAAATGTTTCATTTGTTTTGTAAATATATAATTAATCTTAAATATTTTTTACTATATATAATAAAACGTCACGTAAAGTTTTTAATAAATGAATGTATCATTTGATTCTTTGACGTGATTGTTAAAACGATTATGAAAATCGAATTCGCAAACGATCCTACTAGGAGAACTGAAAATCAATTGTATAATTATAAAAAATAAGATTTTAAAATTTGGAACAAAAATGTCGGTGCTCAATTCGTTGCAAAACCGAATTCGCGAATGATCCTACTGAAGGAATTAGGAATTATTTTATGTAATTAGGAAAAAAAAATCAAATTTTGGAATTTAAGGAAACAAATCCGATGCCCTGTTTGATTCGAGTTTTAAACATAGTCACCTATAATGCATATATATATCAACTATACCGGCCAATACCGCCTGTAAGAGTTTATACCGCGCTCGTCGATCAATGTCTCGAATACTGTTTTCGACGATAGGCTTTTTATCCTTTTTATTTCAAGGACGATAAAAAATTTCTCTTATTCTTTTTCGTCGATAATTTAAGATTAAAAAATACTTTGTCATTGTCGTTAATACGAGATAGAAAATGAAAACGAAATCTAACGGAGAGATGCAAGGTATTTGAAGAGAAGTATACTTGTTTAGAACTGAAGATCTTAAATTACGAACCACTAAATATCGAGGCACTTTTCCCATTCGATCATTTCCTTCACTGTCAAATCACACGACGCGACATTATTCTTTTACGAATAACGTTTCTCTCGTGACGCGCGTGAAATCCAGTATACTGTCGTACAAATCAAGAAATTTGTATGTGTTAAACTATGAGGGAAAAAAGATTCTCTCTCTCTTTCTCTTTGATCGTAACACGACCGCCCTCCTGGAAACTCTGTACGCTTTTGATCGGCTTCGTATTGTATGACCGAGCTCAGCGCTTTAACTGACCTCTTCTGGATACTGCATAAATTACAAGCTTTTGAAAGTACTTGCTGGAAATGCTCCAATGATATAATTCCGTCATATGCTGCTAAGATCGCTACGATCTCTTGAACAACGATTAAGCGCGAAATCGATTAATTATTTGAATATGTATTTTAATGAATACATAATGCAATATTTACTTTCATAAATTATATTGTTAATAATTTTAATCTGGAATTTAATTAAATTTAAATTTAATGTCATCTTTTCGTAATTTTCACTTTTATATTAACGTTAATATTTTATATATATAATATATGTGTATGTATGATATATTCTTGAGTATAACTGCGGCAAAGCATATACACACATTATTTTATATATTTTAAATTTCATATATATATATATATAAATTATAGAGAATAGAAAAATGTTCGTATATCAATGATACTTGATTATTGTGTATAAAATATATCGTAACATATAAAAAATATTAAAAATCGGTTCGTAATGTAAAAAGTTAACCTCAATCTATTTACCTTAAACGTACACAATTTTGTGACAAGTACACATGTAAGTACATTAAATTTACACTAATATGTTGTACAATCAATTTATCATTATATTTATATAAAAAAATGAATGTATTACATATATATTTATTAATAATACAAAATCTTTTTTTACCTTAATAAATAGAATCAATAATGGCCAGAGTAGTGAAATTTTTCCAAACGATAAGAAATAATTGGAAAAAATCTGCATTTGGTGCTGCTGTTTTATCATATGGAGTTTCATACAGTAAAGAGACATACAAGTATGATATTTTAATAATTATAAGCGATTAAAATCATTCAATAATGTTTTATAATATAATTATTACATTTAAATAATGAATTTTTAATGGTTGAATTTTTAGCACTCAAATGTTAATGAGACAATATTGTGAGGATGTAGTCAAATATGGAAACGAACCTTGTCCCACAACCATAAAACCTCGCCATGTCACAGTTATTTTAAATCCTGCTGCTAAAAACAGGTTTAAAATAAAAACATAAATCTATTGCTGCATCCTAAAAAATCATTTCTGATATATTGATTTATTCATTTCCAGGAAAGCAAAGAAATTATTTGAGAATTATTGCGAGCCATTGTTACATTTAGCAGGAATTGCAGTAACAGTTTTACAAACTGAATCAACAAGTCATACTCGTAGTATAATAGAAAATTTAGACTTTGTAACCGATGCTATAATTGTGGCAGGAGGAGATGGTACTTTATCTGATGTTATAACCGGTTTGATGAGAAGATACAAAAATAATCTTCATTCTGTCAAACAATGCTCAATTGGTGTCTTACCACTGGGAGAAACAAATACTGTTTCCCATGCTTTAAATTCTTTGCGCTTTAATAATTTACTTGAAATACGTGAGATGACGGAAGCTACAATGGCTGTTATAAAAGGCAACCAAAAGTTCATAGATATTATTGAAGTTCAAGCGCTTAAAGTAAGTTATAAGAGAATAGATTTATTTAGTTTTGCAGCTAAGAATTAAACGCAGATTCCAATATTCTAATAATTATTGAAATTTTATCTTTATTCACGTTTATAAAATTTACTTATGTCTATTATGTTGATATTCAAGGAAGATTCTGAAAATGAATTAAAACCGGTCTATGCAGCTGGAACAATAGAATGGGGTGCCTGGCAAGATGCGTATGCGCGAAGAAATAAATATTGGCTTGGAAAAAATTTAAGAAAGTATGATATACACTTTAAAGTAATATTTTTTATTTCCATAATTTTACACATTAACTTTAAAATCTTATTATATCATATATATGAAACTTACACATTTAACGATTATAAAAATATATTTTTCCATTACTTTATATTAACTTTAAAATCTTACTATGTTATAGATATGCAACTTTTATATTTAATGGTTACAAAAATAACTTAAACTGGAACTGTAATGGGTTATTGAAATATACTAAACCTTGTGCAGGTTGTTCTCAATGCTATGAAAAAATAAATACAAATATCGATCAATCTTTAAATACAAATAAAAAATGGTGGCATGCATTTTTGTCTAGGAAAACAACATTTACATCAGGTAAGCATGTCTCGATCAATGCTTATATGCGTCAAGTAAATGTTCCTTCAAATTTCAGTAATCGCACTTATCACAATTTATCAGGATAAAAATTAACAATAGTATATAATGAGAAATTAATTATCGTAATGTATTCTTTACACTAAGCATATTGCATCTGTATATATATACATTTTTAAATTTATTTCAGAAAAGGTAATTGACTATAGCAAAATTACGAATGAAAATTGTAACGTTTCGTATGAAGTTCCTATTTCAACAACTGACTTATTTATAAAAACCTCATCTCTAGATGACGTTGAACGTCAAGACTATTCTTCATTAAAAGTACAATTAGGTAATGCAAAACAATAATAAATAAATTATTTAGCATGTTAAATGCTATGCTTATCCTTATAAATCAGCAATTAGATTGTCCAACCAGGCCATTATTTTGTTACCAATGGCTAATATTTTTATATTTTTCTATATCTAACAGATCATTTTGACCTAAATGGAAAGCTCAAAAAAATAAGTTTGGAGCTTAACGTGTAAACAAAATTATTATATAATATTATTTAATGCGATTTACATTTGTAGGTCCAAAAGATGTAGATTATATGTCATTCGTTAGGGAAGGCTGGAAAAGAATAAATGGAAATAGAACCTTAATAAATTCCTCGTTCGAAGCAAAAGACATTGAATTGTACCCTGAAAAGGTAAATAGTTTTGTTTTGTTGTTACTAAAATTTATTATTTTTAAATTCACTTTTGCTGTACTTTCCATATATTATAAAAACATCCTATTCATAACATATACTTTTTTACAGATTGATAAACGAGTATTTTATATCGATAACGAAGAATTTGATTTAATGGCAATTCGAATGAAATTACTTCCAAATTGTATAAAAATATTTTGTTCTAATGAGAAAGATGTTAATACACTAAGTAGATAATACTACTAGTAAAAATTATGTTTAAGTATTTCTTTTTTATCTCCTATAAGGCACATCACATTTTTTCGGTTTTCATATAATAAATATTTTCTAAAATTATTGATTACTTATGTATAAAAAATAATTCATTTATACAGTTTTTTTTTCGTTATTAATAATGAATTCTTATCAAAAAATAGTCTTATAATTATCGATAAAAATGGCAATTACACTGGAACGAAGAGTACCTTAAAATTACTTATCTATTTTAGGTGAATACTGTTTTATAAGGTACACTATTAAAAACAATACTAAGCGCGCTCAACTCTCTTCTCCATGTATTTTCAATCCTATTGTAAAGATGTTTTTTAGATAAACCATTGATGTTTCATTACATTATTACGTTCATTGCATAGATAACTAAGAAAGAGTATTTGAGTTTCCAGGACAAGTATTTTTATCACATTCTCTATTATTAACTTTAAAGAAATTGAGTAAAGATGGAGTGGGAGACGCAGAAGTTTTGCATCCTTTTGGTTCCATTGATCTAGATCTACTACTTCTATGTGCAGGTGTAATCACTTTAGAACTAGACAGTTTATTTGTGGATGATTTACTTTTTTGGTCTTTAAATTTCTCTCGTATTTTTGTTAACCAATCGACTCTTTCCTTGTACTTTTCAGGAGAGATTTGAAGTAGGTGAGGCGCTGTTCCATCTATCACAAAATTTGGCAGATTTGATATAGGTAAAAATGAAATTGATGAACTGGTACTTTCTGAGACGTTATTTTCTGAACTAGTACTTTCTGAGACGTTATTTTCTGAAATGGTACTTTCTGAGACGTTACTTTCTGAAATGGTTGTTTCAAGTTTTGGTACATATGAACTTGTACTTGGTTTATCGAAGTTGTAACCCTTATCACAAATAGTAGTTTTATCAGTACTTTGGCTAAAAAGCCTTCTAGCACCACGATTTTCTATGTGTGGGCGTTTTATTCTAGTTTCTGAATTTTCATGAATAGGAGATAAACTGGTTTTCAATTTTCCGTCCGAGTACGATCCTTTAAGTGTCATTTGTGTATAAGTTCTTTTAAAACTACTGCTATTACTTTGTCTATGCTTATGTCCCGCATATACATTATTTGATTCAGTAGACCCTGGTGTACTATCTGTTAATAAAATATTTTATTATATCTAATATCTTTCTCTATACATGTAATAAATATTTTATATATCCTATATATGCTATATATATATATATATATACTCACTTGGTGTCCTATCTGATGATCCAGGAGTATGATCTTGTGTTAACGTATACCGCTGGTGGGTAGTCGGTGTTGTCTCCGTTTTCAAATTTCCTAAGGAGATTGCACTGGAAACAGGCTCTGCTCTACCTACTATTTCTAATTCTGCATTTTCTGTTGTATTTTCAGCTATAATTCTCCATATCATATGACACGAATCATCCGAACAAGTTACTATCTATATAATTATTAAATTGAAATGTAATATTTTATGTAAGATAAAGTGCTATTTTTCTATTATTTACTTTAACAACTAAAATACCTTGGTTTCTCCAACAGTGCACCATGCAATACAAGTAACTTCTTCTGTATGACCACTAAGTTTAATTATAGGCTCACCAGATCGCTTAGTATGCCAGATATAAGCAATTTCATCACTAGAACCACTAGTAAGGTATCTTCCATCAGGACTTAAAGAAGTCTTTACATAATATGTACTATTTTGATGTCCATAAAATTGTGCAACTGTAATAAAAAATAAAATTATATAAATTATTCTAAAATTAACATTTCACATGGGAGTTAAATATTATTTTAGATTACCTGGATACGTATTATAAGAAGATATATTATATGCATATATAACATTATCCATACAACTAGCATATAATGTAATTCTAGCTGGACATATTAACAATGAGGAAAATCCATTTCTTAGGCTACTTCCTGCATAATACATTGAATGTTTAGGCATCGCATCTCTTTTGTAAACGGTATAGTTTTTTCTTAAATCCCAAACTTTGATTACTCTATTATAATTAAAAATATATTAATATAAGATTTACTTTTTTTTTTATTTTCAATGCTATTTCTTATTTAGAACTTGATTATTTTTAAGTTATTTACCCATCACCGGCAGCACACGATATTAATGAATTATCATCTTGAAAACCAAGACTGGTAATACTTTGCGTACAAGATAGGTGATTGCGATTTTTACGATGCTTATTACTAACGGATACGCTACTATGTGCATTAAATATACAATTATCTGCTTTAAGTTGAGCACTATGTCTTGCTCTTATATCCCAAATCATTATAATTCCATCACGAGCACCTGTGGCAAAAATTGCTGAAAAATATAAATTCTATTTAATATAAATATAAATGGTAAAGAATTACAAAGAAAAAATACAATTCAATGTAGAACATCTATGAATACATGCATTACTATATAATTTATATTTCTTATACCTTTATCTTCGGGACGAAATACTGCAGTTTTTACACTACGCAAATGAGCCTGGAAGATATCGATTTGTTTTATTTCAGATTGGGATACATCCCATAATTTTGCGCTGTGATCTCCTGATACTGTTACTAACTTTAAATCATTAGGCATCCATGCAACATCAAATATTGCATTACCATGTGCCTAGAAGGAGCATACGATGATTAGTAACATTATATTGTATAATTACTATATACTTTCTTTTCATATAATTTCTTTTTTATGTATGCATAATAAAAAAAAGAAACAAAGTATACAGGGTACCTTATAATAAGTAATACAAGCTAGAATAAAATGATTCTACATGAAAAGCTAATTTAAAAATACTTCTTGCTTGCTTATATTATTAGTTAAAAAATATAATCTGTACAAACGTTATTAAAGAATGGTACAATACTTGTGTTCCTTCTAATGGTGTATCATGCCTTTTTCTAATATTTATATCTTGTAAAGCAACTCTTCCATCTTCATTTGCTAAGGCAAGAATTTGCTCGTACCCTTTCTTTATACAAAAACGACAAGCAAAAACCGGTGGTACTGAATTATAATGCTGTGCATTTATATTCGAAGATATTCCATGGTATAAATCATTACGAAGGCATTTTAAACGATACAGTGCTATGTCATAATCCCGTACAAATTCTACAGAAGAGATTAAATTCTTTGTTATTAGAATTGAATAGGATAGTAAATAAGTACTATTTTCAAATGAAATAGTATGTTCAAAATACGCATAAGAATTCTTGCATGACAAGATGATTGAATACATGCACAAATATGAAAGATATAACCTTTCATATAAAATATAATATATTAATTTTAATTTTTTATAATAATGTAGATATAATATTTTTTTAAATTACCAAAACCCTCCCAACGTTTCGTAATATTTTGCACTATATTCATTGTAATTTTGTGTTAATTAAAAGTTCTCTTTATTAAATCATTAAACACAATAATTCATACGTCCAATATTCTACGCGCGAAAACTTGTTACGTCTCCTACCTCGCAAAATTTGGTTAGTACATATGTAACGACTGTTACCTAACTTTGATTTCATGTATACTTATTTTTTTCCATAATATTCTGGGGATCCTAAGGTATATGGGGATCTGTTTTTGTCAAGTTTAGTCCAGGGAACAGCATTATACCAAGATCGTTTGGCGCAAAAATTTTAATATTGAACATAATAAAGATAACAATATTATAGTTGAGAGAACAAAGATGAGTTCAATTATTAAATATTTTTCATAATCTAATAACCAATTAAAAAATGAATTGAAACGATATGGACTTCGTTGTACAGGAAAAAAGAAAGATATGCAAGAAAGATAGATATTATTCAATTTTTGAAAACAAATTAAAAATAACACAAATTAACAGTTCAGATTCTTCTTAATTTATTCTCGATCGGATTTTTTAAGTCTGTGTTGAAAAATTTTTAATTTTATAAATGATTAATTATGAAGAAAATTATGTAAATCAATTTTATTTCTAATTTTTTATAAACACTATTTAAAATTTAGCGCTAAATGATTTAGTGAAATGCTGCCACCAAGCGGCAGAGTTTGGCGATCAAGATCCCCATGAGAGTATGTAACTTATAAGAACAATAAATGATAGAAAAGAAAACAATAATAATAAAATTTCAACCCCTTAAAATTTCCTCCTATTTTTTATATTCTATTGAACTCATTATTTATTTAACAAGATATTATTTTATTTAAAATTTCCCTAAATGTTACTAACTTTCAGTGGTTTAGTAAAATTTAGAAATGAAATAGAATATAAGTAATAGGTCTAATTCACCGGATTAATGGCCGGTAGTCTAGCATTAAGTATTTTATGGCCGTTAGGTGGTTTGCTGTTGCTTGATCGTTAGTTTTGTATGTGGCTTTAAGTACCTGCCATTTTGCGATTCGTAAACATATCGTGCTTCGATTAATATTCGATCAATTTTATCAAATGTTATATCGTGGTCTCTTGTGCAAGGGTTTGCTCGACGATCTTGTCGAGCTAACCTCTACATTTTGCGCATAATTAAAAGAGTAGAACGATTCACGGTTTTCCAACGATATACGCTACTGTGCCAGTTTTTTATGCGTTGCGGTATTAAGCAGTGATTCATTTATTGCACGGTAATAAAATTTGTCATATGTACATACGTATGTATGATTACATTTTGCATACTAAGAATTTGATCAAGGTTTTTTTACGTTTCGAGTAACGCGTTATCAGGCAACAACATATATCGAACAACTCACATTTTTATTATTTATTTTTATTGCCATTCTTATACTTCCTCTTGAAATCCTTTTTATTACAAATTGAAATGCAACGTGCTTGACTTCAATACTATTTTTTACAAATGAGTTTATTTGTACAATTTATCGATGAAACTGTTTAATGCAAGTATATACAAGATGTATATAGAATATTTATTATCTATAGAAGATTCTATATATATTTATTTTTAATATCATTACTTCTTTTTTTTTATTGCATGTATTTTAACTTATATACATGTTTGACTATGTTTTCCAGAATGGTAACTTCCTATTAACAAGACTATTAAAGAAGTAGTATATATTTGAAAAGTAATATCTGGGGTTTTTTCTATTGACTCTGAAGATGATGGAAACTGATCCTCCTCAATTTTTGTCTAAAGATGATGAAATTCAATATTGGATGGATCTTGCTCATCAGATGCATCAAAGGTAAAACATTCTGTTATAGAAAATAAATATAGATAATCAAAAAATATATACATAACTTATATTATAATCGGAGTACAGTAGATTACTGTAGAATACAAGCTATCCATGTTATAAGAAATTGTAATATAAAATGCATTGTGAAACCTAATTTTTGATTATTGTATGGTTGATATATAATTTGAAAAACTTTTCTGTAACATAGAATGTACTTATTACAAGTATGGTTATTAATAATTTATTAATACGCAGAAAAGAAGATGTCGAAAGAGAATTGGAAGAGTTTCAAGAAAATTCTCAGATGTTAGAGAAAGAATTAGAAACGTCTTTAGAACAAGCAGAAAAAGCTAACAAAGAATTAAGGCAGAGGAATTCACGACTTGCAACAGAGGTAGAACAATTAAGAACAAGATTAGATCAGCAAACTTCAGATTGTGTTATGTTTCAATCACAAGCGCAAGATTTGCAAATACAACAGGAGCAATTGATGAAATACATTAGAGAAATAGAACAGAAAAATGATGATTTAGAACGAGCGCACAGGTATGGAATGAGACTTATAAAAAAAATAATATAAAAAATGTAATATGAATTTTATAAATGTTAGATAAAGTTAGAATATTATTTATTGTTATCGGATACATATGGGCAAATTTGAATTTGGGGATTCCATGTACAAGTCTAGATTTCTTTTTTTCTTTTGCTTATAGTATAAAACATTGCTGAAAACTATACTATATAACAATATACTATTGCCAACATATATTTATAACTATTCATTATATATTACAGGGTAAATAGAGTAACGGAAGAAGAGATAGAAGCTAAATTTAACTTGGCAATAGAAAAGAATGCTCTACTTGAGTCGGAACTTGATGAAAAGGAGGGCTTAAAAGTCATAGTACAAAGATTAATGGATGAAATTAGAGGTTTGATTGATGACAGTTATATATGTACATTATTTTTTGTTTGTTTTCATAATTAGTACTTTGTATTCTTAATTGATTATTATTTTATAGATTTGAAACAAGAGATTCAAGTACAAGAGCGACACCAACCAGATAACGATAAGACAGCAGATAGAGTTCGCAATCTTGTAGATAGTAATAAACTACAAGTCGAACTAGAAACGCATACACCACCTTCCAGTCCATTAGTTTCACAATCTATACCTTCAAATAATACAGCTCCATCATTGAAAAGTAAGATTCATAGCGCTTTTCGTAAATCTAGACGTATACTTTTTTTTGGAAGTAAGAAAAAACTTTCCGTAAATCTATGAAACAAACTTTAGGTTTTTACCGACTAATTGGTAATTAATGTTCTTAATTAGTTATTACTTCAAACTAATTTATGTGAAACATGAATTGACTACTTCCATTTTTTCTTTATTATTCATTCAATAACATGAATTATCAAACCTTGCATTATTCAAATTGTAAATTATTATAAGTAAATTAATATTTGACATTATATTAAATTGTAAATATAAGTTTGCTAAATATCAAATAAAAATTTATTTTTAAGCTTGTATATTTCCAGTTTTTCAAGTTCATGCATACTTTCTCAGGTTTTATTTCTTTAAAGTAATATACATTTTATCTTATTTACTATTAGTTGGAAATGGAGTAGTTGGAGGTGTAATTGGGAACAACAACAATAATAACATAAATCCGCCGTTGGCACCATGTACCAGAATATTAGCCATGAATATGATTGGAGACCTGATGCGAAAAGTTGGAGTGAGTACAATAATTTAGTTACTAGGATGCAATAGTTGTTTGTAACTGAAAAAAATGAGTGCTGTTATTAAAGCTTAAAGCATGGCCTGTATTTCCTTATAATTTTGTAAATTTCGTGTATTTGTTTTTATCATATCTTGTATATAAATTACATTTTATTGGGAAAGAGCATTTAGTATACTTTTATATATATATATATATATATTTTTTTTTATATTTTTTTTATTTTTCAAGTATTCCATAAAACTATGTTATTTTATTTAATTGATTATACTAGTATCTTTTTTTCTTCGTAAGAATGTAGTTATTATTAGTAGCTGGTGTTTTGGTAGCTTGACAGATGGGTCTGCATGGACTGTAGGAGGGTGAAATGTACATGTCCAAATGGAAAAAAATCAAATACTATTCCGCCAAATAATGCACCATCGGTTCAAGTTTGTACACCTGCACAGTGTATTAGACAACAACCTAGACCAGCCAAATGCAGACAATCTTCGTGATTTCGTCATTTAATTATTTTCCAACTAATAATACAGGTCTTTATTCGTTTTTCTTCTTTATGTTTTGATTCGTTCTCCATTGCTTTCACTCTATGCTTATTTACATTATTGATGATAGATTTTCAAACAACTATTATTATTATTATTATTATTATTATTATTATTACTTTTATAACTTTTATAATACTAAGTATTTTATTCGTATTTCAATATCTTTCTACTTATATACTAAATAATAAAATGCTCGTGCATGTTTTGTTGTTACATGGCTTTGAGAATTAAGATTGATGTATTGCATATTTTATTATGTTAGGATTACTTTTTGATTATATTTTTCATTTCTTTCAGTTAAATTGTATCCGAATTTAATTTTTTTCAAATCTAGAGAGAACTAATTCATTAACATAAAACAACTATGCTGTATTAACACATTGTGTTTGTTCTTATTTAATAATATTGTTTTTATTTAAAAAAAAATCTCGTAAAAAGAAAATTAATTATTTCATTAAAAAATAATTACTATGCAAGGTGTATTCAGAGGAAAGATGATTTTATGTGCAATAATAAGTCAAAAAAAAAAAAAGACTACGGTGGGTGATCAGTTAATGAATAATTCAAATCAGACAATGAACATTTTTGCAAAAGAAGAAATAACACTGTATTTAAAATATATAAAACATACTGTCAGTCACTGTATTTCAGAGAATTTTCAAACAAATTTTCTCGAAAACATAAAAAAGTATTACTCTTTATTCTCGACTTTATTTTTACATATAGAATCATTCTCTGCTTGGTTAAACCATCCATCTGGATACATTTTGTGTTTAATTAAATTCTATATTTATAGATACGCTTAAAATTATGTATTATATTTTATTTTATTTTTAGTTACTCTGATATTAACTTTTATAAAATATTTATGAAATATTTCACTGATAATCCAAAATTTGTTTATGCAGGCCTTGGAAAACAAATTGAATACATGCAGAAATGCGTCTCGAGAGGACCAAGCTGTACGTGATCTCTACAGGTAACATTTCTATCAAACTTTCACATGGAATTGTGCTGTTCTTTATTTGTGCTGTTGTTGCATAACCTGGAAAAGTAAATATTATGTACCTGCAAAATTGTTTTATATATAACATGTAATATATTTCAATTGAATAATTTCTTCAAACTAATCAATCAGAAAGGTACATAATATTTTTGCAACATGAAATAAAGTGTACTTATTGTTAAGTTAATTCACTGGTTGTGTATACACTTTTTAGCGCTTTTTATGAAATAATTCATATAGAATTTTTAATTTCATATTATCTTATAGTCCTATAGCTTTTTAATTTCTTTTTTGTTATGAAAGAAATTAAATGATACTATGTCAGTCGCATAAATTTTTATTTTAGTATTTTGAACATAAACTATAAGACTAGGTTTTTATATAAGAATCTTAATAATTTTTTAAATAAATGTTTTTTTGTATTTATATTAATTTTTAAATTATTAGATGAAACTTTCTAAATTTCATAGACGAATACTCATTTATTTTCTTTTTTTTATATCTCTGCTGTAAAAAATAAAGATGACTCAGTAATCTGATAATTTAAAAGCTTGTATCAATGTATTTATTTACTATCTAAATAATTGAATACTTATAAATCAAGAAAAATTATTTAAATATTAAAATGATGTATTATATAACATTATTAAATTTTTCTTTGTGAAAGGGTATAAATCATTTCTAAAATTTAGAATGTTTGATAAAGCACATTTTGTCATACTAAATTTTCTTTTTATATCTTACACATTATATACAAAGTGTCTGAGATTTTTACATTTCGCAACGGTGTCAGCGTATTCTATGCATAAAAATAAGAAAACATGTTATATAAACATGAATTTAGAAAAACCTTAGACATTTTGTATATATATGTATATACATATTATTTGTCATTATAAAAAATTAATACGTGTGAAAATATTTTTACAAATATATGTACAAAACATTTTTTTTTTTCACAAAACGTATGCTTCATTACACATTAAATGCTTGTCGTATGCTTTTTTTTGTTTATATATGTGGATAACATCTTAAAATATTTACTTCAAAATATCACATGTATTTATTGTTATGTGATGTTGAAAAAGATTTTATTTCTATTATGAAATTTAATTTTATATTATTTACTTTATAAGTTCTACAGTGTATTTTTTGTAGTAATTTATAATTTACTGTACATTAATATAAAATTTGTGTTATAAGTAAGAGTTAAGCCACTAATTCAAAAGTAATCCTTTTGTTGTGCCACTTTATTCTACTTTAATAAATAACTCGAATTATTAATTGCAAATAATATAAAGATGTATGTAAATATATGTGGCTCAAATAACTAATTAGATACTAGATCATTGTCAACACGCAGTGCAAGTAAGATTTATTTAGTAGTTACAATACATCATTTGCATGAATTTTTAGTTAAAAAAAAAAAAAAAAATTGATTATTATTTTGTCATATTCTTGTAAAGAAAAATTAATATCTGACGGCTGCATAAATATATGTTGTTAACCATCACATAAACCGTGTCTTATTTTATAATGTCACTCGTGTATATTTATGCGGTAAGTTGGATTGTAGAAATTAAATAGTTGACTATATTAAAATAAATAAAAAATAGAACCAAAGTGCTGTTTTGTTATGATACTAAAGTAACAAATAATTGTTGCATTTGTTTGATCAGGAGTAGACGACAAGTGAGAGGCGCAGCCTCAGGAAACAACAACCACATTCGATTGTAACAAGGTATTTTTTTTGTGCAACAATAAGCCTAAAAAATGTGCAATTACGTTTAAGAATTGTTGCTTTAATAAGAATATTTATTAACTAATAGAAAAATTTTTAGAGATTGATACGATTGTGTCGATTAAAATGCATCTCTATGTAATATGTCTATTTTGGACAAAAAAATATTTTTTACTATAATGTGACAAAGATTTATAACTAGGTATTTGGCATATTTATTAGATTCGTTTGGTTGATAATTACTAAAACTAAAATTTAATTTATATGCGTTAATAGGACGAATAAATGTTTCATTATATATATAAATATGTATATGTAAGTGATTATTATAAAACACGAATGAAAGCTAAGTACTATACGCTATTCGATAACAAAATTAAAATACTTTTCATCGCAGCAATAACAAACAGATATACATATATATAATAATCATTTTTTTGTAAAATACTTTTATAAAGTACGTTTGAATTTAATTGCAAATTAATACATCCGACTTTTTAAGTGGTATTATTCAAATTTGTAAATAGAATTAGTGTCGTATCATAAATATTTAGGCAAGATATATATATATATGTAGGTATGTGGACTGTTTTAATTATTTATATTGTAGTATTCAAAATTTAATTTAAATAAACCAATCAGAAATGTTGTTTTTAATATTTAATTTTAATTTCATTAAAAGAATCGTTTAATATTATTCTAAAATTATCTGTAATAATAATAATAATAATAATATAATTTTAAATATATTATTAATAATAATAATTATTATTATTGTAAATTATTAATCTATTGGATATATATATATATATATATATATAGAGAGAGAGAGAGAAAGAAAGAGAGAAAGAGAGAGAAAAAGAGAGAGATGTTATGGATTGATATAACTTGTAACATTATAATTATGATTATCATAAGTTATGAATTTCCTTTACTAGAAATTTCATTACAATGTTGAAAATAATATATACACATAAGTATATACACTCTGCATTCTTCATAATATTGACAATATCTTAATATTTTTTTATTTATTTTACTGATTATTTATATGTTAGTTGTATATCAGTGCCATTAGATATATAAAAGATACATTTCGTTAGATTAAAAATGTTTTGCATTGTTGTCTGTTATTATAATATATTTCGTATGCAATTATTGTATTGTATTTCAATATACTGACGAAATTGCGAAATATGTTTATTTCAATGTATTTAAGTATATTTCAATTATAATACAATCTTTATATAATGATAATCATTAATATACTCACATTTTAATTTATCTTTCATAACACATGTAACACACATCTTACTAAAATATTAATTCTAAAGAAACATATTTTCTTCATTGATGTAAAGGTATATAGAAGTTTAATGTTGGCGCGATGAAAAATAAATGATGAGTATCTTGAAATTTTAACTTAAAAGGGTCTAGTTATAACTATTACTTATTTAAATATGTTTAATTATTATAAATAAATTTTAAGGTTGTTTAAAAATATTGAAAACATAATTAGTGGCATCGACGATATTAAATCTAATTTTTACACGATTTTGACAAACAAAGTCTCATTTAATAAATAAAGATTAGAGCGAGGAGAGACGGGCTTTTATAATTTTTTTAGAAACTTTATTTTCTATGAGGAAAAAAACATGTTTCAAATAATCCTTTTTTATTGGTAGAAATCAAATTTTTTTATAAACACCCTAATATATGAATCCTTAGATATTGCAATTTAAAGACAAAGTGATCTTTGTTACTTTCAAAATAAACAGCTCATATACAAAACTTAAATTAATTTTGTTTTTCTATTAAGTTTTGAAATTTCACAGCACAACATTGGTGTAATTTACAAACGGTGGCAAGTGGTTCAAAGTGGTACAACACGCCGCGACCAAGTCTCATTGGTGTTAGAAAGTTAAATTACAGTTAGCTATATACCGAAAATAAATCTGATATCTAAAACAAAATTGCTAGGGACAATATTGGAGATTGGATGTGAGAAGAAGTATAATATTTACGTTCTATTTTTGTACATTCCACATTTGTTTGAATATTTAACATGTTCACGCCGGCGCGTACCACCAAAAATTTAGATCGTTCAGTAACTAGAAAAAGTTGCTATATAGTTTAAAATTAAAATAATGAAAATTTAACGTATTTTAATGGAAAACATTTATTTTATAATAACAATTATAATATATTTAATATCGTTTTATAAACATAACTTTAATTTAATTAATTAATCGGTCCGTCCGATATAGGGAAAAGCTGCCACCTATGCGCGAGAAAAATGAATTACAGCGCCGGCATGAACGTGTTAAATCTAATATGGCACTCGTTCTTTCGTTATTAAAGTTAACATTGACTTGATATTTTAGTTGGTTTCTTCTTTTTACGTCATTTTTTTGTTAAAATTGGGTAAGTATGGATAATCAAAAATATAAATTCTAAAACATAATTGATTTTAAAATGTAGTTTATTTTAACATGTAGTTTACTCTAAAACAGCGTTTTGAAACTATTTATAGAGTTGTAGAGATGATTAAATTGAGTAACATGTCTATTTGTGTTGGGGGTGACTTGCTATTAACGATAAATGGTTGATCAAAACTATTTTTTTAACATAAAGTTCAAATTTGACTGTTATTAATTATTTTTGTCGTAGATTAATGTTTTCTTCGCTTCATATTATGAAAACTTTCACTCTTATAAAGAAATGCAAAATACTTACTTTGATTTTCTATTTTTGATGCAATAGCTAAAAAACATTATTTAAAACTTTGGCTGTCACGTTGAATTCATATGTTTCGTTCAAGACGCCACGGTAGTATTTTTATTATTCAAGATTTTATAGAAATAAATCTTTTATTTTCAATGTTCCAATAAAAATTTGTAATTGTTTATTGGGGCATTTTTTATTTAAAATTATATTCTAATTAGCGATAATCTTGAAAAAGCACTAACTGTAAATTTTTATTCAACTTTTAAGATTGTAAATATTCAAGCGCGCCCGTCGGTCACCGATGAATACCATGGCGTCACAAGAGAAAACGTAATCGGTCATGTATCACTAACGTAGCAGTCACAGTGTTAACGGATTGAAACAAGAGAAGGTTTTAAGTTACGCTTAAAATGTCTCGCTAAAATGTAAAATGTTGTTGAGATTTTAAGTAAGATTAATCCAATATTATATAAAATAGGAAAGATGATTTTTTTCGAAAAAAATCGATATCTGGATCAATTCTAATTGAATATCAAAATATCGAAAATAAATAGATCAATCTGTTTTTAAGTGGATTAATTAAAAAATATATTTAATATTTAAATTAAATTTAATAAACAAATAAATATATATATATATATATTATATGTTAATCTATTTGTATCAATTGTTTAACGTATTATCCCAGCATAACCACCAACAGAGTAGTCAATGCCATCTGTTGAGATCATAGTGACTTTGATATTGATATGTTAGTATTGATCGAGAGTTGACATGTGTTGATATGTGCGATGTGTTCTATTTAAATTCCCTTTCATTACAAGATTATATTTATTATTAAAGAATAAAACATATCAGTCGAGTTTTAGATTACTTATATCGATTTTCCGATTAATCGATTACAGATCATCATCCCTAATATAAAATACCTTTACTGTTTAACTTAGTTTATATTAATTTATATTTATAATAAAGTGCAATATTTCAATTAAAACTTATTATTTTTTGCATTACATTTTTTTCTAGATTTGTTTCTTACGTTTTATTTCAATATTCAATATGGAAGCTGTTCATTCATTGATAACTAGGCGTATTGAAGATGAGGACAAGGTTTCAGAGGTTATGAAAGATTTCAATAAAAAGGACAATGATCAGGATCGCATAATAAAAATTCTCCAAGTGATGCATGAGTTCGATGTAACTCCTATTATTCCATCACTAACAAAAGATAATTCACTCTCGAACAAATTTCGAAATATGGGAGAAGAATTGTTTAATGAAGAACCTCTCAATATAAACTATTTTAAAGAAATATTAATTTTATATTCAAAGAGTATAGCTTATGCGGAACCTTTATCAACTGAACTTAGTCTGGCCTATGAATGCAGATCCAATCTTCTATTATTTATGTTTCAATATAAAGAGTGCATTAGTGATATTGACAGAGCATTATCCTTTAATAATTTACCCGAGTATCAAACCGTCAAATGTCATTTGCGAAGAATACAGTGTTTGCTCACGTTAGGAGAAAGTATAAATAATGATCTTATCAATGCGATTAATATGGCGAAACAGATGCCAGAGTGTCCTAGAAGACAGAAATGTCTGAGAATAGCACAAAATTTAGAAAGAATGGCACAAGGAATAGGCATTCCAAAAGTATCAGTTAATCAAAGGTACCCAGTAAAAATTCCAGTAGTTAAGTCTCCGAACGTAGAAGTTCCATCTGCATCAGATGCAGTTGCTATTGAATACAATAGCCAGTGGGGGAGACATATTGTTGCTACCCGCGATATTGAACCTGGTGAACTCATTGCAGTAGAGAAAAGTTATACTTATATTTTAAATCACACAAATTGTTATACTCATTGTTCAAATTGCACGGAAGGTTCTTTTACTCTTTTACCTTGCGATTATTGCTATTGTTCAATGTATTGTTCAGAAATATGCCGATCTGACCACTGGAAGAAATTTCATGAAATAGAATGTCCTGTATTTTCTATACTGTACGAGATTTCAAATGATGATAACGAAAAATTTAATTTTTTCTGTATAAGACTCGTATTACAAGCATTAAGAGAGTTTGGAAGTATACAAGCTTTAAAAAATCAACTTCTTCTTTTAAAGGAAAGTAACAAACAGCGTGGTAATTAGAATTTATAACTTATTTTTTCAACTATTAAATAATAGTTTTTTTTTCTTTTTTTACTTAAATTTTTAATTAACTATTTCTTTATAGATCCTAGAACACAAGGATTTGATTCCAATATGCAGTTTCTTAGTAATAAATATACAAGTATATATAGTCTTACAACAAATACTGATAAAAGATCATCTTTTGATATATTTAGAAGAGGTTTAAGTTCTTGTACTCTTCTATATTTATTGGTCAATTATTCTACGTTTTTTGGAGAAAAAAAAAACATGAAAATATCTGAAATAGCCGAATATGACGATGCTACGTTCATTGGTGGTCTCTTATTAACTCATCAACAAATAATACCTAGTAACGCTCATTCTGTAAGTATTTTCTTTTTTTGGTTTCTTCTTATTTTTTTGTTCATATTAAAATTAGAATTATATTACAGTTAGAGGAAACATATCGTTATGATCCTAAACAACGAGGAATGGTAGCTATGGCATTTTACAGTCTGTTCAATCACAGTTGTTCGGCGAATGTATTAAGATATTCTGCAGGCACAAGCACAGTTATGCGTTCTATATTTCCTATAAAGAAAGGAGAACAGGTATTTATTTATTCTAGAGCTGTAAGTAATATCATTCTATGCTTTCTGTGAACAAAAATTCTACATAAAATTCATTCTTTACGTTTTTCTAGCTTTTTGATAATTATGGTTATCATTTTGGTGTAACGGTAAGAGCAAGAAGACGAGAGGGACTTCTAGGACAATATTATTTCTTCTGCGAATGCATAGCATGCAAAGATAATTGGCGTACAGATGCTGAACTACCTAATGTCAAAGTATTTATAATTTATGAATTCAGTTATATTATATAAATTATACAGGAGGATCTGTAACTAGTGATACAATCAGGCAGAGGGTGATTCTACACGAAAAACTAAGTAAATAATGTAGAATAAGATTTATTCATATAAAGCTTTGTTTTTAAGAAAATTAAATTTGAACATTTGTCAAATGAGCGTGGACTACTGCATTTTCAATTTTGTTTTTCACGTAGAATCATTTCATGTTCGCTTGTATTACTAGTTATTGGACATACTATTTACAATTTTTATTTTTCATATAAAATTTTTTTTTCTAGGAATTGATAAAACCACCGATTAAGAGATCGTTCATTTCAAAATCCTTAAAAATGCTCGATCATTACATCATTTTTTTAGGTAGTGCAACACCCAAAATTATTGAAGAGAGACAAGATATACTACAAGCTTTATTAAACATGTTAAAAACGTTATATAATAGTTCTTTATATCCTTCTTCGGAATTTATTAATATTGTGGAAACTATAAAATATGCTTGTAGCATGCTTGGTAACGTATATTATTTTCCTGAGATAAAAGAAGAAAATTGGGCCTAATTTACTAAATTATTATATTAAATTATTGTATGTGTATTTTCGTATTTTATTTTTTTATATTAACTCTTTCGCTACTACAGGCGACTATAGTCGTTCTCCATAAAATTCTATGTATTTTACATATGTAGAACGTTTACGATTATAGCACATCAAATATCCCACTCTGAACGTATAATTTTAGTGTTTAATTTTTTTTGGACCAAAAATCGTTTATATCTACAACAAAATACTTCAAAAATGAGTCTCGACTGCTGATGAAATCGGTTTTTCGCGCAACTTGCAGTTTTGATGCTGTACTTCACAGTGGCCTGTTCAGGTGGAGTACCGCCCCGGAAATCATGCCCGTAGCGAAAAGGTTAATTGACCATTCTGTGAAAGAGTTCTTATAATCAAAATTTTTTATTAGTATTATAGATAATACATGTATGTATTGAAAACTAATGTAATGCAATGTAATGGAATGTATTGAAAACTAATTCACATCGCTAACTATTTTATTATATGTTCGGAAAATATACATTACAAAAATATAATACTTGAATTATTCTATTTTCTGAGGTAGATAATTCAATAATGAAACATACTGCCAGTACTAATATAAATACAGATTATAAGATGCATTTGGACATTACATTGTAAAGTACTTGTAAGTATTTAAATAAGTATAATAAGGCTATGAATACTTGTAGAAAAGTAATTACTCGAATAATATATTATCCTTAAAAATTCTTAAAAATATATTAACAATTAATAATTGTTAAAGGATATTCAAATTATCTGTAAACGACTTGTATACATGTTACCGTGAAAGACTGAAATTGAAGAATGTCAAGATTCACATGGTCGCTTCGTATATGTCCGAAATATAAATGTTAAGAATAAACTCAAATATTCGGTCTTTCACTGACGTATTTGTTGTGTGTGATAAGCAACTATGTGAACTTTGTCATATTTTTTTTTTTTTTAATAATTATGTCATTAATATGTAAATAATGTCAAATTTTATATTTCTTCTGCCAAACTTAACGTAAAGTTACCGTTACAATGAAATGATTACGTTAACAATCCAATAGACATCATTAACAGAATTATAAGTCCTATCGAATGCTCCTTTACTGGGGCAGATGATGTATCTTTATTTTTAATTTTATTAACATATTCTGTATCCTGTATTTTGTCAGAATATAATTCGTGGATGTAATTAATTCTCCAATCAACACCAGTATATACAGGACTGTATTTTTTCAAATATTGACTAACTATATCTGCTATTGTAACACCTAAAACATGATAATGATTAATAAACAACGACATTTTGTGAATGTTTAAAATAAAAATCACTTAACCGTACCTATTGTAGTAAATTGAAGGTCTTTTAACATCTTATATCCATCTCCTCCGTTACGCATAAAATCACTCATCAGAACATTGTAAGTTGCAGTTTTATTGAGATCACTATAACTTGGAATATTACAAGCGGCACATCGTACTTTAACGGAAACCACTTTCGAATTAACTGGACGAGAAATATCATATAAAACCTGAAGGCCAGAAAATTGGAGGAATGCGCCAAATAAGTTATCAGAAGAATTTTGATGAAGATTATATACGCTCCATTCTAACATTGAAAGCACTTGTTCTCCTGTCATAGAAACTTTGAATATGGTATTGCCAAAGGGTAGAACGCCAAGTATATCACCCATTGTGATCTAAATTTTGTTTATATAGAGAAACGGGAGAGGTTCAGAAATATGTAAAATAAATCAAAATAATAGATTGAATGTAATCTGAAATATTTACTTTATCGTCTAAATCTCTAGTTATAGATGCTCTAATATTTCCACTATTTTGAACAGCAATAGCAGCGTCGGTCCATTTTCCTTTGACAAAATATTGTTGGGCATTCTGCAATTGCAATTGTAAATTCGTATCTTTGAAATAATAACGATAAAGGCAATATTTTTTTTGTTATGATCTTACGTAATCGACGATAGCATCTGTAATAAGATTTCCTAAATTGCATTCTTTCTTTCGGCAAATTTTACTATCACCGTTAAGCAATACACGAGTCCTTCCGATTTCCAACGAAGTTATATTATCGATTGCAGGTCTGAGTAGATCCAGTTCTTCGATAATATCCGGTGCCTGTTAGGAATCGTCTTTAAAAATAACATAAATATCGTATAATTATATAATTCATTGTTATCGTTTGAAAGCTTACCTGATCGATGTTATGATCCACGAGAATCGGATTACCCTCGATGTGAGTAATTTCACCATTTGAATCGAATGTAACGCTAAAGTTACCAAGATATTTGGTATAAGCGTATGCTTGAACAACATAGACTCTTCTACCATTGTCTTGTATAATTTCAGTAGGATAAAAACCTTCTGGGTGTTCTATATCAGGTTGTTTGCCACGATAAAGAAAAGTATTGGTATGTCCACCAATAACAAGATCGATGTCCTCAACTTCTTTGGCAATTTTTTTATCAACGTTGAACCCAGAATGACCCAAAGCAATGAGAATATTGACACCCTCTTTCTTCAATTTCTTAGCTTCCTCACGAATTGCTGGTACTTCGTCATTAATTATCACATTTTCGGTGCTCGATAAGATCGTTGTATCTGGCGTGAGATAACCGATCACACCGATTTTCGTACCGTTTATTAACAAGACCGTACTGTTTGCTAATTTCGTCGCTTTTAAGTTCGGCTCTTTCGATAGATCAAGATTTGTTGCAAGAACGGGAAACTTTGCATTCTCGATGAAGGGTATCAAACCGTTAACACCATCATCGAACTCGTGGTTTCCAAGACTCTGCGAAGCATGATAACATAGTTAAAGAAATTTTCTAGCTTTCGAGATAATTAACGGAATAAGCAGGAATTAATTCGACATTGATACTAACTATTGCATCTGGCGCGAGAATGTTGAGAAATTGAACAACGATTTTCCATTTGTAAATATTATACCAGACTGAACCTTGATAAGTATCACCAGCGTTCAAAAATAACGTTGGTATGGAAGAATTTCTAGCTTGGCGAACCAATGTTGCTATTCTGGCGAAACCACCGTAACAATTACCTGCTTTAACATCCTGTTTAGGACAAATTGGTACTGACATTTTTGAAGTTTCTTCGAATCTAAAAACGTTATAGATTTTTTGGTGAGTATACTGAACTAATTAAAGAAGCGTAAGCATTGTATGATTTTATTGTAAATTGACATTTATCGATTTATATATTATCTCACAAATTCCCACGATAATAATTAGAGTTAAAGATTAAATTGTTGCTTAATTGTTATATATGTATATGTGTGATCCGAATTGATTGGAACGTTACGTTAATGTATATTAATTAAAATGTAATTTGTGCAATTTTTATTATTTTAATTTTTTATTAGAATGATTTTAAATTATACCTGGCGTGCATATCATTAGTGTGAACAATTTGGAAAGTAAGTTCTCCATTTTCGTTTTGCGAAGATACAGGATTTCCATAAACCAAGTCGTTCGTTACCGTAAATAGTATGAAAATCGTTGGAAAAGTCCGTAACAGTAATACGAGCATTGTTACGACTCATTAATATTGTATCTGATTAATATTTAAATATTTGCCTTGGAACGTAAATGCACGGTATTGATAAACGTTGTTGTTTCACGACTCGTTGAGATCTTCGTTATTGCAATTATTTTTTTTTTATCGATATGTTAATAAGTTTGTTGGTTGTCCTTAGTATATAAGACCTTCTCAGAACTTTATCTTTTAAGAGTTCATTATTATTCTGAAAGATAATAAACATTTCGATTTAATAATGTTTTATGAAATATGAAAAGCAATTTTTCTTTTATGATATAAAAATATACAAACGAAACGATGCCAAGCGTCACGGTCTATATATTATAATATTTGATAAATAATACCTATTATGTGTTATTCAAATAACAGAATTAATTCAATGCCAATAATTTATTTCTTTGACAGCGTTTATGAACTTTCGAGTTCCTAATGCCAATTAATAATAATAATATGTATATTTGTATWTGAATTATAAAAATATTAGGTATCATCAGCAGAAATGATTTCGTCATGATTTCGAAAAATGTGTCGTTAAACAAATTGAAAAATATTCATTAAAATTTATTTTAGATCAAACAGATAACATAGATTGTAACAGTGTTTCTCAATTAGTGATTCGTAGACAAATTGTAGAGGTCTGAAAAATGCAAATGTTTATAGATTTGTTTATATTTATTACATATTTGTTATTCAATGACTAATAAAATTAAATTTATCTTTAATTTACCGTTTCAACATTTTCTTTTGTATAATTAAGATGTCCTGTAATTTGTGATTATAAGTGAGCAGAGGATGAGTATACACGAAAAACTAATTGTAAGTCGAAAAAGAATCAATTACAGGACATCTAAAGTAAAATAAATTCGGTAAACGCTACACGATAATAATATTTTATTATAAAAACGTCCACTCTTTCTGTCATTTTTTTAGCTTAATTTATTTCATTTGATTTATAATAAAAAAAATAAAAAAATGTGTTGACCCGCGGAAATAGAGCTAAATAACAGCCAATAGAGCTAAATAACAGCCAATTGAGAAACACTAGGTTTTAATGATACGATATATGATATACGATATACATATATATATAATATATAATATAATAATAATATATATATATATATATAATATATAATAACATATATAATACAAATATATAATAAATATATATGTTTTATATAATATACGTGTTAATTTAATAAATTTAACATTGATAATAGAGCAACTTATTAATTTTTATTTAGAAGAAGAAAAAAGAGAAAGATAGATAGAGAGAGAGAGAGAGAGAGAGAGAGAGAGAGAGAGAGAGAGAGAGAGAGANGAGAGAGAGAGAGAGAGAGAGAGAGAGAGAGAGAGAGATAATAAAATTTACCTTTAAAAATAGATATAAATCACCTAATTAAAATTTTAATTAATTCCAACTAATCTTTCACTTATATCATTTTTTCATAAACTTAAAATCAAATACTACGGTGTCACGTGCTAACACTCTCAGATAATTTCAAAATATACTCCTATTGATCGAAAAGAATAATCGACCTCTTTTGAGTGATATGTGGAATTTTAAAAAAGATTAATCGTAAGCATTAATTATAGTGACGAGAACAAGCACATGGTAGAAAAAAAAAGACAAAGAAGTTGAGACACGATCGAAGTTGCGACACATGTATATATATATATATATATATGTATAAAGTGACGTTTAAGTGTAATTTTCGATTAGGTTTATTAAAATTTTCTTTAAACACAATAACGAGAAGAAGGAACACGCGCTTCTTAAAGATACGAACAGGAGTCAATAAAGACACGTAGTGATTTTGCCGAGGGACGAGCGTTGACTGAACATAATGGACGTTTGAAAAGATGGCGGAGGTGGTGGTTACAGCGTATTTTAATTTCGAAGTAGAATAGTCGTCATAAAAATAAAGAGAGGGGCATACTCCTTCGGTTGGTTCATAAACAGTCCTTTATATTTTAGGATTGGTAAACCATTTAATGAAAAGAAGGATTTGGTTGAATAACTCTAATTCAAAACGTAACTCGCGACGTCATTTTTCATTCATATTAGTTAAAAGGCCGTATATCTTTTTTTACATCAACCAAAAATTTCTGCTATCTCGTTTTAGTTTATTTTTACTTATATTTTCTTGGATAACAAATGTTACATTGTCCGCGTTATTTTTATTTCCTTGTCATGCTTTGTCAAGCAACTAAAATATTATAATTCGTAATTTCGTAATCTGAACAAATTATTAAGTTTCCGCAATTGTCGAGGAAAATTATTTAGCCGGAAACATTTATTCATCCATTTATTTTTTTTCGATTTCTATGGAAAACGGTTTCTCCTCACTCAGTCGTTTTGCACAATTGTCGATGAAATTATACATTTTATATATGTAAGTAATGTTTGTTAAATTCAATCACAATTTTGAAATTTGGAAAATTTTTTCTTTATCTTTATATATTGTCGTCTTTGCTATATTGCCGTCATTGTTAATTTATCCGTCGCTTGATAACATGATTTAAAAGCTTAACAATCGTGTGCATATTGCGTTTAATTTAAACAAGAAAATAGCAGAATACAAAAATAAAAAGAAAATAAAAAAAAATATTTAACATTGATCGATAATCGAACATACATTCCTCGCGAACATACAAAATGCAAAGTATCGGACTACATTTATTTATTTATTTTCAATATTTACGAGTTATGATTTCGAGTTATTTGTAAAATATCGCTCGAAGAATCTCATTAAAATTGATTTTTATTACCTTCGACCGATCGATAATAACTCGAAGTCGTCGTTCTCATGGCAATCTTGTTTTTCATTGTAACAAAAAAGGTAGGAAGAAAAAAACAAAAAGGAAAATTACAACAATAACAAAAAAAAAAAAAAACTCAGAAATCATATCCGGGTGGAGTTGTAAGAACGTAAAAAGAAAAATTGATTTATTTGTTTTCTCCCTATCGAACGAGATCGAAGAGTTTGATGTTTTCATTTTTGGTCGAAGCATACAACAGTAGTAGTATATCCACTTGAATTTCTTTCATCCTCATCATCATCATCATCATCATCTTATTTTTCGTTCGGTAATTTCACTCGAAATCGATCATAAGTTATTTCTTAGGTTCGAGCATGTATCTTCGCGGTTTTTTTTAAATGAGACCAGTGAATCTTGATTCCTTCGATCGTAAACGATTAGCCATGGAAAAAACGTGTTGGGTTATACTTATATAGGTACGATCTTTTAAAATTACTTCTTCGATGGACTTTGTATCTACTGTAAGATAAGAATTTGAAGTGATTTTCAAATTGATCATGACGCAATAGCTCTCAAGGTTGTATTTTTAATGAATAAAAACGAATATATACTCTAGAAGCGATAATATTTACTATGTTTTTGTTATATTATATTTTATTTTATTCATTTTTTTGTCTTTTTTTATAGTGCAGATAATGAAATTTTGCGAAAGTTAAAAAAAAAAGACAGGAAAGTGAAGATATCGTAATGCATTCGTTCGCGTAATTTTGTCTTATCCTTTTTCTTTTTAAATATTAAGTTGACATTATCATTGGTGATGTAATCAGACCTTCGGTCGTAAAACTCTTTAGTGTCTTTTAGAATATATCTTGTAAGTATCATAGTCACGGTCTTACGAAGCGTGCCATGGCCAAAATTCTAATATAGAATTATTCTTTTGTCAATGTGCCAATAAAGAAGCTCTCTTTCCTGTTGCTTTACTCTCCTCGGCTTGGAATTTTTTAAACAGAAACACTTCGAAACACTTGAGTAATTAATACTATTCTTTTTTTTTTAATCATATTCATTAATTTGATCGATCGTATAATAAATAATTTGAACGAATTCTATCATTCAATTTTCTTATTTCGTAGTTCCAGGTGTTTTTAATATTTTTTTAGATCTTCGTATTCACGTTGGTACAACAATGCTAATGCACAATTTACTCGTTGACACTAACACGATTATATAACCAAGTGTTTTACAATACACTGATAAGAAATGAAAAAGAATTGATGAAAGATAATAAAGATATAATGTGAAAAGCAATGTGAATGATCTCTTTCTGGTTATAGGTTCTAAGTTTACTAATTTCTCGTATGTTCATGATAATTTTTCTCAAACAGGTTTAAATGAATGCGGACAGGTCACATGTTTGCTTATAATTTCTTAACTGAACACGCAATATATCGTTATTTTTTATTTCCCTATTTTACGTATATTATTTATAAACGATAAGAATTAGCATAATTTAATGATTCGAAAATATTTTATGGTATTTTAAATCAATGTGGTTTACCTGCATAAATCCGGACTCCTTGATTCTAGTAAAAACTCGATCTGCCCCGTATAATTCAACGTTTCTGAGTTGATTTATAGTTTCGATATCTAGTTTTACTATTATATTGAAAGGTAAACGTGAGAGATATACAACAACCAATGATATTCGTTCTAGGAAAAAAATCTATGTTTTTAATTTGCTTGATAAAATCTTTCAACATCCGCTTTATCGTAACTTTGAGTATGGAAAGTTTATTAAGTAATTATTGTACAATGATTTTGTTAATGCTCAATTGTACAAGTGAATTGCTACACTCATGCTAAAAATATGTTATAATCGATGAGAGTCCTTGTCAAACGATGCAAAAAATTTTTTCTACAATTTTTTTATTTTTGTTAATGAAATTCCCTTCTATAGTTGTTGAATATTGTATTGATCATTAACAAATTGTCAAACAATTGATAAGAAAAATTTGACAAAAAAAAGTGGAGAAAGATAATTCGTCGTTATCGAATCTAATGACATGTGTGTTTTCGAGATAATTATCATGACAGTGTGTAGATAATTATGAGACGCCTTCAATAATGAATATTTGTGATAATAGATGTGCTTGCTTTTTCATGGAAGGCATTAAGATATATCATTGTTGGTGAAGGTAGCAGTTCTCAACGAACATTCGGTGCTGACAGGTGATTTACGATTGGTATGCTCTTTACGGAAGTTAGAAGAGTGCGTGTAAGTTTCAATTTTTCTCTATCAAGGTTACTAAATTTTCTCCTCGATTCATTCCTTTCTGTCTTCTTACAAATTTCAAAGGAGTGATTGTTTTTTTTTCTCACTTTGTATTCGTCGTATCGAAATGTCATAAATCGAAATTTGAAACTCGTAAGTTTCTTATGAAGGGAACAATTACATTTACTAATTAGAATCGTATTTCTTAAGTATGCCAGCAAACGTTCTCGGTTGCGCTATAAATATGCGCTATAAATTATGAAAATGACAATACAATTGATCGAATAATTTTATTCATGCTGAAACTAATAATTATCGGAGAAATGAGAATGTAGTTTTACGCGAAAAATAATAATAACAAAAATATATATGAATTATTATACTTTACCAATAATGATAATATCGTCCTTTTTCCTTTTATCATCTTCAAACATTTTGTTGTGTATACGTTTCTTACGATCACGTTTACATTAGTCACTGCGAACATTTCCTTTAAACTATTCGATCGTTGGTGTCACGTTTGTTATTTTTTTACAGGCGTATATAACTTATAAATATATTGGAAATATATTTTTAAAACGAACGAACGTTTTATTATCGTTAAACTAATTCAAGTTATTCAATTTCAAGTATCAGGTAAATAAAATGAATTATATTGATTGGCAATTTCAATTAATATTTACGTTACTCTTACTAGTTAATATCAATTTGTTCAACAGTCGTACAGTTGTCGAACACAACATGTATACTTTGTTGTTAATAGGCATACTGTTACAAACATGTTTGGCTTTTACCGGTCGTGGATTGGTCTATCCTGGACAGACCGATTTTTTTGAATTATCTATCATACATTTGAATGATTTTCATGCGAGGTAAGAAATCTAATGATTATATACAATTATTTATCTAATTAATTACGAAACACTGTTGTGTTTGTTTCGTATCATACGTTTCAAGTAAATAAAAATATCTTTGTTACCGTCGTCTCTATATTTTATTTATATATTTACGGTTTACATAATCACAATTGAAAGTGAATATAGAAATTCTTAATTTATTGTGATAGACATAATATTACGAATTATGTAACATACGTAAGTCTTGTTTATAACATACGATTTTTATTACAATATAAAACAAGAATTAATTTAAATATAAAAAAAGAATAATTAAAAAAAAACCGAAAATCATTTTGTAAGATTTCAACAAACCAATCCAGACTCCAGTATTTGCCATCGAGGACAGGAAAATGATTGCGTTGGTGGAATTGCTAGAGTGTATACTGCTGTTAATCAATTGAAGAAAGAACGACCAAATGCTATTTTTCTAAATGCTGGTGATCATTACCAAGGTACTTTGTGGTACAATGTTCATCGATGGAATGTGACGGCTACATTTATGAATATGTTACCTCACGACGCTTTGGTAAATTATAATTAATGAATAATTATTGAAATAATATTTTAATCTAATTATAATTTAAGTATCTTCGATCTGTAGACGCTTGGGAATCATGATTTTGATGATAAAATAGCTGGCGTAGTACCTTTTCTTAAGGCTATGAAAGCACCTGTTATTGTAACCAATATCGATGACAGCGAAGAACCTTCTATTCAAGTATGTGTCATAATTATTTTTTTACTTTTTCTTTTTCTTTTTCTTTTTCTTTTGGTATATCCTTCCAATAATTTTTTCTCACACATGGATTGAAAGTTCGTTTTTGCTCCCTGTTTTCAGGGGCGAAAGTGCCACATTCCTGCCCGCTTGAACCTGTTTTCAGGGGGCGAAAGTGCAACATTCCCTCCCGCTTGAA